AATAAAACCTTTCCATTAAAAACAAGTGAATGTCCAAGAATATCATGTTTAAGCACTACTAATTTTAAGAGCTTAGGGCTAGATAGGCTAAGGGTTTTAGACATGTAGAAAATAGGAACTTTAACACTTGACTTTAGGAGGATGTGAAGCTTCAAGCGTGGAATCCAGACCCTGAGTTACGTATTTGATCTCTGTAAGAAGTACACAGAGGTTCCTGAGAAAGCTGTTCTTAACAACATGTGCAGTTGCAATTAGCTAGTGCACCGGACAAAGTTCTGGTGAGAAATTTGCTTATTGTTAGGCATCACACCCATTTTCATGAAAACCTTTTTTTCAAAGTTTATGAACTTCTGAACAGAATCACAGAACATTTGAAAGTGGTTGGAAGTGACCTCAGGAGTTCATCAGGTCCACTGCCCCTGCTCAAGCAGGGTGACCTAGAACTAGTTGCCCAGGACTATGTTCAGGTGGCTTTTGTATATCTCCAGGAATAGAGACTCTGTAACATTTCTGGGTAACCTGTTTCATAGTTTGATGTCCTGGTTTTACTGGAATATAACCATTGGCATGTGCAAAGTATATTGCGTGTGCAATATAACCAAGGTGTGCAGGCTATTAGCAGTTTCAAGTGAGTTAGGAGCTTAAGGTGGGAGGGGTAAAAGCTGAGCAGCTGACCCAAGCCATCTTACAGGTGTATCCCATCCCATAAACATCATACTCATTATAAAGGGGGAAAGTTGGTGAAGTTGCAGGTTCTTTTCCTTCTCTTCCTGTTTCTCCTCCTCTCAAGGTTTACTATTCCTAGTGGGGATTGCTTATCATTCTGCTCCTGAGGACTACTTTCCTGGGTTTTGTGACCACTCTGCATTCAGTAGGCTGAGTGTAATTTTATGTTCTCTATATTAGTATTAATATTAGTTTTGCTCATCCATTAAACCTGTTCTTATTTCAACGCGCAGTTATCTTGTCCTTTTCCTCAATCCCCATTCTTGGTTGGAGAGGGATCATCAGGTGATAGAACAACTGCAATGTAGACACTTGGTCACCCTCAAAGGAAAAGAGTATTTTCATATATTCATATGGAGCCTCTACTGTTTTGATTTGTGACCACAGCCTCTTGAATAATTGGAATAGATGATATTACTCTTTCATAAGGGGATTTACAACTTAAAATACAGTAAAATCTTCAATTTCTTATATATTCAGCTGGAAGGAATTAATTTTTAAACTCCATATAAAACTCTTTTCTTAATTTTGAGATTCAGTGGTGGTGGTTTTTCTTGTATTGAAGGACTGCTACTCTGCAGGATATAAAGATTCATAAGTTTGAATAAGAGCTGAGGAAGAACATGCCTCTAGACCTACTGTTAGAAAATTCACTTAGACTGAAAAGATGTGTCTCAATATCTACTTTATGGACCATTTAGTCTAAATGCATAAACAGGTATGGGAAGAATAATTACAATTCATCCCCATGTTTAAGCAGGTATTGAACCTGAGTCTTCTACTGCTTCGGTAAGTGCTCTTGGAGTGCCTGCTGGGATTCATTGTTATTTCTTGCATGGCACTGTTTTTTTCTTGGAGTCAACAATAGGCCAGATGATTTTACTAGAGTAGTAACCCGCTGAGGCTAGTATGCACTGCTGCTCAGCCAGGCGTCTCGGCATACCTGGACTGCCAGTCTGCCTAGGTCAATTTTGATTCACTTGGAATCTGGGCAGAGCAAGCTCATCACAAGTGAAGGGAAGAGTGAATCACACCTCACCACAGTTACCTTGTATAGCCCTAGACAAAAATTGCCTACATCCAGTTGTATCTCCTTTTATAATAGAAGCACAAGTGATGCTCTGCTGTAGACGGTCAGACCTGAGCAATGGAGTAACTACCTGTGTTGTGGTACTGTCTTGAGTGCTTGTCTTGGAAAGGTACAGGGAGAGGTATAGCAGATGCTCAAGCGTGATGTAGAGCAACATTTTAACTCAGCACCCTACAGAAAGGAATCGGCTGTACCACCACCGACAAGAAGGCCACAGTAGGATGTACACCTCTGTTCTCTGGAAATCAAACATTCAGCTAGCTATCTGAAGTCATGAAAGAAGAGAATGCTTAGCTTACTATGGAAGAAGACTAACATTTTTTCTTAGTTTCCATTAAAGGTTCAACTAAGTGGGTCTACCTCTAACAGTTCTTTGTAAACTGGGTTTGGTAGACTTCTCTCTGTTATTCGGGTATGCACGGTTTTAGAATATCTCTACTAAGGCTTTACTCTTTATCCTAAAATTTAACTAAAGGTAACCATATAATGGTGTGGTCCTGAATTCTTTCTCTAATGTTCGTGTCTGTCAGTCAGTTAAATGTTCTGTCTGCATATAAAGGTGTCTGTATCCTAGTATAAATAAGGCTCTGTACAAAAATGCTTTGAATTTATGTGTGTTGGCTTCATTTGCAGCATATTGCTCTGTGTTAGTCTTTCTGTCTTTAAAGCAGATTTTTGCCTTTCTGTCTACTGTTCTGTCTACTGAGCTCACCGTCTGGTATTTGAATATTACCTAAATAAATGAATTCATGTTCTGTTGTGCTCAAATACACTGTGTTCATACAAAGTTTGAAACTAGGAGAAAAGAAGTGTTTCATCAATTGCACAAAAGTTGCTGTTAATACTCTACGGTAGCTAGTTTTTGGTGTTTGGTAAAATTTGATTATATTATATGCTTTATGATCAATATAATATATGCACTGTATTTTTTTAAAAATAAAACTTCTCCTGTGAATACTGAATTTCTTGTAATGTAAAAACACACAAAAAGTCACAACACTTGTGAATGTTCTGCATGCTCATGAAGAACTACAATAATTAACTTAAGCTCTGATAGCTGGAATCAGCTAGCGATGACAAAACAGGGCTTCCAAACTGAGTCTTGTCAAAGAAAAGGAACAGAGAAATGAAGCTTATACTGTAACTGTCATGTTGTCAAAACCTACAGCATTGATTTTTTCTGTCTCTATATTGTGCCATGAAATCCTCCCAGAGATAATCATCTTAATTATATTGGTCTTTTGGGAATGCCAATAAAGTTAGATGATAATGGACTGTGAGATGAGCAGAGGCAGCTATAAGACTTGCATGGACTTTTTCCAAATTCTCTTTCTTCAAGAGAACAAAACACAGGTAGCATGACTCTCTCTCTCTCTCCCTAGTAATACCCTCCGAGTCTTCTTTCTCTTTGATGCCTGTACATTCCTCAGCATGCACATCCCTTGTTTTTTCATAAACGCTACAAAAGAATTCTTCACAGAATTCTTCTGCAAGACATGTTTTTTGTGAAAAGGAAGTGTTAAAAATCCCTCAGAAGGATACGGTTTTTAGCTGAAAGTGTAAATCTGGTTTGGTTCTGAAGATTAGTGCATTCCAGAAGACCTTTTTCTGACGGTGTGTTTGATCTATAGGCAATTTATATTCCACCTCTAGGAATGCCTGCCTAAATATAAACATATATATTTTTTTCCATCTTTAGGTATTTTGTTTGTTTGTTTTTTAAATGTGAACATTTAATGCAAAATAAGGCATGACATCCAATACCCTGAATTCTTTAAATGGTGGCCAGAAGAACCTCTCTTACAGATGTACTCCGTTGGCTCTACAGTTAAAGTTTGATGCAGTCTGCTAGAAATTTGGCCGTGATCTACAAAACTGCAGCTGGCTACTTGGGTTACGTTTAGCAGCAAATTATATGAGATAGCTTGATATTATTTGTTTATAAATGAATACCAGTGAGGCAACATCAGTTGACAATTGCACAGGTACACACATCTGTAGCATTCTAATAACCAGATTTCACAGACACCAATGTAACTATTAACTGCCATGTTGTGATTATCTGTCGTGTTAGTGATTATCTTGTTTGTTTCAGATGAGTAAAGGCTGAAACATTGACCTTTAACTATCTTAAGTATATCAAACTGGGCTACTTTAATACTGATTATTAAAATATACAGATATGCCACCCTTTTTCTTCCTGTCTTCTCCTCTGAAAATACTTGATTGGTCTTGCAGCTATATAAATACCTGTGGTATTTGTGTAAGGCTGCTTGAAAATTCAAGTTTGTGTGATATACTCCTGCACAGGTTATAATTTCTTATTTTTGTTAATGTGTTGTCATTAATTTGATGTCAAATATATAACTGAATAGAAGAGACTGTCTTGAGTAGTTGAAATAAAGAGTAAATTTGATGAAGGTTTTACCCCTAAGTGTGTTGTAAGAGAAATTTGATATGATATACAGTCTTATGAGACAGTGTTTCTTGAATACATAATCAGATTTTCTGAAAAGAGCTACCTTGTCAGTACTTCTACCTTTTGCCTCACTGGAAGAAGAGAAATCACTTTTATTTTATCTCAAGTGACCCAGAGGCAAAACATTCCTTGATCATCATTGATCCTAGTGCTGAACTTCATGAAACTTATATGCAATCCCAGAAAATGTGTTAGAAATTTACTTTGGAGAATCTATTAAACTTGTGAGAGTGGCAGGTTCCCAAGTTTAATTTACGGTTTGCAGAAATATGGGATATTCATTATCACCCTTTTTCTACTGTTAAGAGTTACACATGTGTAGAGTGAATTTACCATTTAGTCCATGCAGTTGGTAGGGTCAACACTGAATAATCATGTGAAATATATATCTCGAACTACTTTTGTTTTAAATGTGAATCCTAGACAGCAGAACTGATAACAATGTCTTTTTCATCCTGCCTTTCCCCCCCCTCTTTAGATCACATGGTGTGTGTATGTACGTATGTGCATGTGTGTATTTGTACAAGTTTATATGCCACTGTTCTCAAATATATTATTTCTGGCAGTGCTATGAAAGGGTGATTGGACAGAAAAAGTGCTCAGGAGCCTCTAATAGATTTCAATCCAGTCTGCCTGCTGCTCTGTTTTGCACTGAGTCGAGTATTTTTTTAAGCTGATAATTGAAAACCTATCTTGTTCTTACAGAATGGCTTTGCTGTTGTAAGGCCCCCAGGCCATCATGCTGAAGAATCAACAGCCATGTAAGTACCAGGGAATATTGCCCATCTTGGAGCACTAAGGTTACTGGCAATCACCTGTGTTGTGCATGTCTCTGAAGAACTGTAATTGTTAGCAGATGACTGAAAAGGCTTTCTAGGTACTCCCAGAAGCAGATTTATGGCCTCAGAGATCATATAGCATTTTTTAAAATGCTCTGAACATTATTTATAGCTGTTTTCCTGACTGATTTGCTTTCTTATTTCTGTTCTTCTCTATTCCACAGGGGGTTCTGCTTTTTTAATTCGATTGCAATTACTGCCAAATACTTGAGAGACAAGCTAAATATAGGCAAGATATTGATTGTAGATCTGGTATGTATTCTTGGCAAGCATTGCACTTTCAGTGCATCCAGATAAAAGATAATGAATTTGTATTTACATGTCAGACTTTCCTGCTTTTAATACCTACAAGTAATAAAGGTGTGCATTTCCTCTGATTTTGGGAACTCATTAAAGCCAGGATGGCAGGACTGAAGCCATAAACATCTATGTTTCACTTTAATGGTGTTAACTGCAATTTAATGAGAAGAAGGCACAGATCAGGGCAACTTTTATGGTCCTTAAATGAATTGATACTTCCACTGTTAAAATAACCCTACAGAACCCAAGTTTACTTTTCTCTACAGAATACAAACTTTAAATAGTCAGATGTGCTTTAAAGAATGTTGTTGCTTTGGTAACCGAATTGGCCGCTTCCCTCGGCTAGCAATGATTCAACTTGTTGTGTAACTTCAATATTATTAAACAAATCAACAGGTCATTCCCTCTAAGAAATTTTCAAGCCATGGATGCCAGCTTTTGATGGTTCCCTGAAGGAAAGCTACGTGATTAAAAATCCACTTCATTGGATTAGTCTTGTATTTTAATAGAAGGCATTCTTACACAATACTTAATATGTTTAACGAATGGATTATTTAAATGCAGATGGCATTTGGCATGTTGTCTGTATTATTTTCATGAATAATGAATTGGAGCTCTGCCTTGCACTTAAAGGATCAGCCTAGTGCATGGACTAAGGAAAGTTAAATGCTGATTTATGAGCACCATTTTTGTTTTCCTACAGTTCATGAGGAGGTGTAATAGGGTGTCTGACAAAGCATAGACAGGAAATGAACCCTGGCATCAAAACCTAACCTGTTACATCTGCACTTAATTAATTTTTGCAGGTGATAAAAGATTTAAAGACAAAATATGTTAAGGGGGTTTTGAAGTGCAGGGCTTAATAGTCTAAATCTTGTTCATATCTGCACTCATAATTAAATCTTATTGTGAAGTCATGGCCTTACCATCTAGCACTTTTGTTCAGCTAAACATGCGTGCTGGCTGTTGAAGAGAAGCAGAGAAGGGGAGAGTGTGGGAGAAGGAATGGCAAGTGAAAAATGGGTGGTAGACTAAGTATATGGCTAGGTTAAATATTCTTAGAACGTTTTTCAAATATTTCTCAAAGTGTCCTGCTACCACTTAGAAACAATTATAAATTGGAAGAAGCCGGTGTGTTTTAAAAATTTACTTCCACCGTATGTTGCATCAGTTTGCTGACTTGAATCTTACAGTTCATTGAGTTTTACTGCTGTAAGTGCTGGCCGAAAGTGAACTCTATGCTTATTCTTGTTTTTTAATAAGAAAAGCCTATTCAAAGTTTGCCTTTTATGAATATTTTTAAGTGTGTTTTTGACAGGAAGTGTTACATTTGCCTTGTTGGGAAAAGAAATCACTTCCATTTGACCACCTTAGCCAATAAGCACTTAGGAATTCAGCTTCAATTTTTCAAGGCAAGGTTAAATGTGCAAATAATTACCTGTGCAAATGATTACCTGTGATGATGCCTATCCTTACCCATGAAAGTAGATAGGGAATGCTCAGCCTCCCTCTGACTCTATCCCATTGGCCAGAATAACTCACCTGTTGAAAAGGGAGAAATATATAGCTGACACAGTTTTCTTCAGTCCCTAGTCTGCTTCGTGGTCAGTGCGCTGATGTACAAAAATTTGTATGGAAAATCTCTTAAGTATGTAAACTATGGGTAAATCACAGTCCAAACCAAATGAATGAGCAAGTTAATAGTAATGTCTTTATGCCCACCGACAGAGAGTTTTAGGCATCTGAAGGAAAGAATGGAATTACGGATGTTAAACTTTAAATTAACCTTTAAGACTATATTTTGATAGTGACTAGCACAGCAGGGCCCCATGCAAGTTGGCTGCTGTACATGTTACTACTATGTAAATACTAAAAAGTGATATTAAGTCCCACACGTTTAACTGTACTCTAGTTACAAGTTTATTCTTCATAGTTGGTACATATGTTCATATATATTCCTTTTTAATTTTTAGTCTTCATTTATTTGTACACTAAAATAAAAGACCTCTCTGTCAGCTTTTCTTTTCTTATTCTTCCATTTGAATAAATCTCCATCTTCTAACTGACTAATATACCCTGAATACATTTGATCTTCTAAAGGCAGAATATTAACACATTTCCCGCACTGTAACATCCGTAGTTTTAAACAACACATTCCTTTGTCTAACCAGAGGCATTGTTGCTCTTCAAAATCCTTGGTGGAATTGAAGTTTAGAAAAGAAATCTAGCTTTGAGATTTGAATAATTTTTTTTTTTTTTTAAAAAAGAACTCTCTATACCCACTTAACATTTTTTCTTCTCATTTAAAAACTGTCACATCAAAAACTGTCACATCTAAAGCCCAAATACACATGGAAAAGAAAACCTAAGGAAAATCACAAAATTATGTTTTTAGTGCTAGTCTCTGCAGATCTGTCTATATGGCCAACATAGGTTCTCAGGTTGTTGCAATCCTGATTCCAAGATCATCCACACTTGCATGTATGTTAGCATGTTCTGGGTCTGTTCTGGAATAAACCAATTAATTCTGTCACAGTTAGAAGACTGAATGGGTTTCTGGGGTTAATCTGCATGCCAGATTTTACTTCATTTGCCACTCAGAGCCCTCTGACTCTACGCTGGCTGCCTTCAAATCTCCAACACCCTCACACCAGCGCATGCTCCCTCGCACCTCCTACGTGTTGCATTTAACCTTGGCATTAAGTCACAGTTGAGCTGTAACTGCAGTCTCAGGGTGTTTCAAGTACTTTCAGCTGAGAAAAGTGACCATTATAGTATTATGCCACAGATGTTGCAGAGGAGGTCCAAGTCAAGCAAAATGCAGTACAAGTAAGACTCAATCAATGTAGCGAGTCCTGAACAATGTGGGTGAGAGTTGTGGGCTACATCAGCTGGCAAAAAGCGCAAGCAATGGGCAGTGCTTGCTGTGTCATTGGCGATGTCCGCCTAATTTGACCCTTTCCAGAGTGTGGCCACCCTGCGGAAAATGTGATCTTTGTTTCTCTGACACTAAATTTGGTATAGACTTCATAGCACTTGTAAAATAAATACAGCCTGAATGAGAGCGTTGCTGTTCAGAGTGCTTTTCTGTCCTCCTGAATTATCTCTTTAAATCAGAAATTTCAAAGTGGTGTATTAAAGGAGAAGAATCAATAATATCTATAATTTTTCAGCTTCTTATTTATGCTAGTGGAGAAACTTAAAAAAAGTCTCAGAATTATGTTACTGAAAGGCAAGTGGGTTTTCCATTTTCACTTGTAAAATTTCTTGTGTGTCTAATCACATAGTACAATAGTGGAGCTGTGAAAACAGAACTAAAAAAGAGGAAAAGCCCACATCATCAGCCTTTATTATCTAATGTCAGCATTTCTTTCTCAGTATTTTATTTAATGACAGAATTTCTTTTCACTGGCGTTATATAATGTTTGAAATATGGAGACTGGCCAAGGTCACTTCTTGATTGTGGAAGGCACCATCCTATCTGCCAGATGATTTAATAGCTAATGAGATCATATTCCTATGTCTTCAACTGTTGCCGTCATGATTTTGCAAAAATGAAGTATGAAGTCCTTTCCGCATCTGGCATCTCTTTTGATGTGGATCTAACTGCTGAGGGACTGCTAACTGAACTGAATGTTTCAAGAAAGCCAATTTACTCAGCTGGTCGCAGAGCCTTTGACCTCAATAGTGGAACTTGGCAAATCAATGAATACACTTATGTTTAGTGTTCTGTCAAGAATTGTGAAAAAGCTCTGTAAACCATAGATCCTTCTGCAAAATACTAGTTTGTAGTTTAAACATTAGTCTTTCTTCAGAGGCCAATGAGGCTAGTTAATTAAGCCTGAGGGGTTATGAACTGTTGGCAGTTAATAAGTCATAAAATTCCTCCATAAAACAGGATGCTAGATTCCATCACTGAGGCAAGGAGTACAAAGAGCCGGTGTATAAATATCTAATTGTACAAAAGGACTGGGATTTCTCAATGACTGCTCATCTGGAGTCTCCAGGGCACGCTCGCTATGGTTTCCTGATTTTTAGAAGCCAGTTTAAAAAATGAGTGCATTAAAGAGTAATTTGCCTGAAAGTTCAGGAAGTATGGGGTGGTGAAGGGAGGGGGAAAGGGTAAGACAAAAGGAGGGCAGGGGAGAGGGAGAGAAGTGGAGGGGGGGGTAAAAGAAAGCAGAGCTGAGCTCTCTACACTGAGTTGGACATTATTACATTTGTCATCTGTTTTCTTTCTCCTTTAGGATGTTCACCATGGCAACGGTACACAGCAGGCTTTTTATGCTGACCCCAGCATCCTGTATGTTTCCCTCCATCGCTATGATGAAGGCAACTTCTTCCCCGGCAGTGGAGCCCCAAATGAGGTTAGGTTTATTTCTTTAGAGCCCCATTTTTATTTGTATCTTTCAGATAATTGCGTTGCATGATTACCCCTAATTTTCTTGTCCTTCTCGGGTTCTTTAAATTATACCAGATTACCAAATTGTCCACTGGGAACAGGGGACCAGTGGAGAACAAGTGCATAACCCAGAGCAGTCCTTGTCAAACAAGGCTGATCTGACATGTTGTTTGATGTTTGTTTCCAAAGCACACTTGAGAAATTTTTCTTTTTTTTTTTTTCACCTCACATTTTTCCTCCTCGTTTTTCCTCCTCTTCACTCCTTTTGGCATTTTATTCATATTTTTCAGGTTGGAAGTGGCCCTGGTGAAGGGTATAACATAAATATTGCTTGGACAGGTGGCTTGGATCCTCCTATGGGTGATGTTGAGTATCTCACAGCCTTCAGGTTGGTATTTTTTTCTTTTAAAGTTATGAAAACTAGTTGTAGAACATAAGCACATGAATAAGACCTAATGTAATCTACAAGACAATGATCCATGGTGAAACTAATTCCTACTATCCCAGTATACAAAAGCTTAGTAAATAATAAAAAACAGGTAGTTTAATTCTTGTGATCATCCACTCAGAATCAAAAATAAAGTCTAATGATTTAATGAGTCACTCATTTCACCATTATTACACTATACCAGTAAAATGACTTTGAGCTTGCTGACTTCTCTACCTACAGAATTTAAATATAAGCACTTATACCAGGCAGAAGGAAATTACTGTTCACATTGATTGCAGTTACATGCAAATAGAGCAGATAGAAAGAAAGATGAATTATGGTGCAAATCCAGCATTCCCCATTCCCTTAGAAGTCTTACTGTGATGCTCATAGATTTGACCAACTGGCTTTTGCCATGAATTGCTGTAAAGTGTAATTTACTTAAAAGTAAATAACTGTGAAATGTCTCAGTAAGAGTGATAGGAAATGTTGCATACTGTATTTTTCTTTCCTTTCAATAGCTCATTCTAAATGAAATTTTATTCTTTCTTAGGTGATGCATCATAATCCTTAGTCTTATTTTCAGGGGGCCAGAGGAGATAAAACCACTTTAAAACTCACTCTTTTAGACTTTCAGTACTCCGGTCTTACATAAATCATTTCTTTTCACGCTAAAGCAGTGCAGTGGAAGGGTTTAGTGGGCACTCACCGCTCGAAATTGGGCAAATGATAGGTGTTTGAAAAGAAGTTTCATTTAGTGGAAACTAATATGCAAGAAATGCAATGAGACAACTAATGCGTATCTCCAATCACTTTTAAGACTTATTTTGAAATAGTGCATTTATCTTCTATAGCTTTTTGATTATAGTCTGTTGAAAATACATCAGAAAAATTATAAAATTATTTTCTTTGTTTTCTTCTTCTTTTTTTTTCCTGAAACACTCCTATGCAGTCCATGAGATAATATGCAGAGGACATCATAACACACCTGAATTAAAAGTCTGAGTTCTAGACACAGAAATAGCCTTACACATTCATGATATGACACTGTTATGGTGTACAAGGTTTTAATTTAATTTACAACATTTGCCTGCATTTAAAAAGAGTCTATACAAATAGTCAGTGGCAGGTCCTAAATTTTCTACAACTCAGTATTGCCTCAAGCTCTTTCCAACATCTGTCTTATTCTTTGAAGAGACTTAATGGAAGTTAAGAGACTGGACGGTTCAGCTCTCAGGTATTAATGTCTGATACCTGGTAAGATCACCCTAAATTTCTCACTTTGCGTCCAACGTGCCCTAGTAATGATATAGGTAATGTGGCCCTCTAACACTGAAGAGAATGGTGGTCACAGCTTATTGAACAAAAGACTCATGTAACTGAGACTGCACATGTAATTTCTACCCATGTTATTCTGACAACAAATACCTGGGCTTGATAATACCTTTTCACAGAATCGTTGAGGCTGGAAAAGACCTCTGAGATTGTCAAGTCCAGCCCATGTCCCAACACCACCAAGTTGGCCAAACATGGCACTAAGTGCCACATCCAGCCTCTCCTTAAACACCTCCAGGGTCAGTGACTCCCACTTCCCATGTATTTTCAAATGTGCACTTTGCAGTTCTAGTTTAAGGCATACTAGCAAATAGCTCAGAGCAGCTAATATTGCTGCTGTACCTATCACTCTACATCAGAGTTAAAGGCAATTGCAATCTCTGTGCTTGAGCAAAGCAGCATCCAGGAAAATAATTCATGTAAGATACTACACACTGAGTAATCATTTGCAGACGTACCAATCAAATGCTTAATTATATATATTTATATGTATTTTAATGCAGATAAACTGCAAAGTGAAGTTTGGGATATCTCTTTAAAGAATTGCTGAAAGTGCAAAATTTAATGCTGCTGTTCTAAATGCATCCATTTAACCCTGCTATTAATGTTGTAATTAACATGAAAGCTATACATTGTGTTAAAAAGTTAGTTGCTTTTATTTTTTGTAAGAAATATAGTGCTGTTGGCTGATTAAAATAGATACTGCTGTTTTCGTTTTCTCTAAAAGAGTAGGAATGACAGGAAATATTTCCCTATACCCTGAGCTCCTTTTTGCCTGGGCAGTCTTTGTGCCCTCTGTAGGACTTATTGATATGGATTTGATATGGCAGTCTTGAATGGGGAGCAATGAAGCAAACAGCATGGAACTTCGAAGGGCAAATACAAAAAATCTGTAAATTACATGCGATAGACCAGGTAGCTATTTCCTAGGGATCTGGCTTGAATGGTAGCAGAATTTACAATTCCTAGTAAAGTGATACTTAATCTGCAGACCGGAATCTATCCTTGCTATTATCCAAAATGTCACACATGATGTAGCCTATGTTCTCAATTTGGTCAGGACAGAATTGTGGGATGGTAGTCAGAAAAGAGAGATCCACAGTTCAGTCCTTTAGCCGTAGATTGAAGGGAAGTTACAGTCTTGGAGAAAATCAATGGAAGACTTGCTAAAAATCTTCAACAAGTCAGTTGTTGTTCTGGAGTTTTGACCTGCAGCAGGTCAGTTTTTAAGAAAATAAGGTTTTGTAGTTATGAAAATGGACTTGATTTTTTTTTTCTAATAAATATATTTGAGTCAGTTACAGAAAAAATCCTAATTAAGGAGTGGGGAAAATGTTGGGCATCCTCAATTTTAAGAGAAAAAGAAGGGACAAAGTAGAGAGATTTTCTGTTCATACCTACTCCCCAGTAGACAGAGAGCTTATGCAGTACTCAATCCGTAGCGAAGGCAGGAGAGGGTGAAGGTCCTCCTCCAAGGTGTGAATAAGTTTGCAAATGGGTGGAGGCTGTGCAGAGAGAAGCTGAGGCTTCCTGCTTTCTGTCTGCCTGCAGAGTCTAATCCTTTGAGTTCTTAGGAGCTGAGAAATTTGCATTGAAATCATCTAAAGCTCCCTAGGGGGTACACATAACCTCCACTTTCTCACCATCAGAGACATAGTTTCTTCCTAGAATTGCACCAAGCACATATTTCAAGTGTCAGCAGCTGTCACACTAAGTAGCTTGTTACTACTTGACTGACTGTCAAATTTCACAGCAGAGGTCCTTCTGAATGATAATGTCTACAGAAATAGAGACCAAGGCTTTTTTCTAGAGTTTTACCCATAATCATATGATGACATATCTGATATCAGGTATATTTTTCTTTGGCTAGAATCTATTTGCAGAACAGCAGAAGCATTTACACACACCTGAACGTACATGCAGGTAGCTGAATATTGGTTATTTTTTCACTGCATAAGTCACTAGATAAACTAATTTTAAATAAATCTTGTTGGATCTGAGTGAGATTTCACCTTACTCTTCCTCCAGGCTCTTTGACAAAATAGTTCTATTTCTTCAGGTAAAAATAACTTTCTTGTGTAAAAATGGAGAAAATTTGAAGATGACTTAGATGCCTAACACAGACTAATCACTTCAAAGACATGCTGAGTGAGTGGCTCCAATAGAATTCTAGTGGAACAGGGAAAATTGTGATGCTGGTTTGTGTCTGCCATTTTGATTTCAGCGCTACATGAAGAGTCTTCGCTGTATTTCTAAACTAATTCTTTCTCATGCAAAATCAAATTTAAATGGATGTAGCCAGTTTGAAGATGAAGACTGCACTTTCATGTATGAAAGAATATGTTTTCCTTTCCCTTCTTTACCATTTCTACTAAGAAAGTACATTTGCTCATGTTGACTACAAGGAAGTAGTAGAAAACGTAAGACAAAAGTAGAATGGAAAAAAAGTGCAATAATCAAATCACTCTACCTTTTCATTTTGCCAGAAAAGTTTTGTTTCATGTTTACCATAGTTAAGCAACTGGTCTAGATACAAATATCCTTGAAAGAG